CCTGCCCGGGACATGGGCGGTAGCCGCCAGTAATTCTCCAGCGCAATATCCATGGTAGGCAGAGTGTGTTATCAGCAATGGCAAGCCAGGTAGCAGTATGCGCTGCCGTCGCAGAAGGTGTAGCAAGACAAGAAAATCACAGATGCAAGAAACGCAGCAGCAAAACCAAAACAAGCTTTGGAGCAGATGAACAATTCATGCAAAGGGGGCTAGGCAGCAAGCACCAGCGTGGTCATTACGTGGTATCTTGTCTCATCTTCCAGAAGATGGTAGAAAGACGGGACACAGAAGACGAGATTTGTTGCCAGCTTGCAAAGATATTCGGCGGGCGGATGGAGTCCGGCAGCCTCCACTATGCCAGTAGGCGGTGTTTTGGTGCATCTAGCGGGGCGTGGTGGGGACCTTGGCCTCAGCCCGGCCCGCAAGGCACCAGGTTTGAGCTTGAGCACACGATCACTGACCACCGCAGTCATCAACTCCATATCGATAAAACTCCTACCCTAGGCTGGCCGACAGAGCTCAGCCGTCGTTTCCGAATGAGCTCATCCATCCGTACTCACCCCACAATTGCTCTTTGATTGAAAAAACACCATAGGATTTTTCTTCGTTGGCCAATGTAAAATACTTTGATTGTAATATTTCGTTGCGTGTTTTGCGTCCTAGTCTGGAGGAGCAAATCACCAGCTGCAATCGAGCCCGAGCCGCTGACGTGGGTTGACTCTCAACCACAACCATGAAAACCCACGATCCATTGAAAACAGAAGAAGCCAACGACGCCGCATGGGAGGCGGGGAAAGGCGCTCTCATAGGCGCAGCGAAATGGGGAGCAGGAGCAGCTGTTCTTGGGGCCATTGGCTACGTATGGTCGCCTATTTACCGCGGAACAACGGTCCAGTTCAAAGTGTGAGCGCAGCGCATAGACACCTACCCATCGTGACCCTTTGGTTCAGAACTCACACTAGCCCTGCAGGTACCTCCAAATGTCGGGCATGGTACTAGGGGGCATGATTGAAGCCGATTGGCGCCTAAGACAGTACGAATACCAGATGCGCATGCAAAGAAGATGGATGAGGGAAAAGGCCAAGTGGGAGCGGTACGAGGAGGAATTTGGAAAGAGTGAGGGCGAGAAATGACCTGCATTTTGGATATGGATTCACCACGTAAACATGATGCCGCAGCATGTTACATTGTACTTTATTTCATCATATAGCAAATGTCATAGAGAGGCATCTTGGCCAAATTCCCTATCGAACACACATTTTTCGAGGCTACCCGTCATGTACCTCAACGAACAGAAACCGAACCAACTCCAACGCCTACTCATGCACCCTCCAAAAATTCACTCGTTTATTTTGCAGCCACTTGAAACTTCTTTGGATCCATATTAATCTTGGACAGCCGTGCAACGCAGCCGCTTAGCTGCAGCAACGTTTGGACGCCTTCCAGAATTTTCATGTGGGTGAAGCCAATCTCCTTGATAAACTCCAGCTTTGAATGCTCGCTTAGCGTTGGAATAGTCTTGGTCACCTTGAACATGGTGCTGATGATGTCGTGACTGGAGTATCCCAGATCCCACAGCTCCCTCAAAGTATCCAGCGCAGAATCTACGTTACCCTCGTAGCACGCCTTCAGCATAGCCTGTACTTTGATGGGATGAGGCGAGTCGACGACCTTGAACACATTGTCTCCAGAGACGAAGCCGAAACCAGCAAAGGTTGATTGCAAATTGTTGATGGCCTGTCGCATATCCCCCTCTGCGCTGAAAACGAGAGCAGCAAGGCCGTCGTCGCTGTATTCGACCTTTTCGGCTTCAATGATTTGCAGTAATCTCTTGACAACCTGGGCGTCGGACAGCTTTGCGTATCGGAGGATGGCGCATCGCGACTGCAGCGGCTCAATAATCTTGTTGGACTGGTTGCATGCAAAGGCGAATCGGGTCGTGTTGGAGTAGATCTCCATGGTTCGGCGAAGAGCTTGCTGCGCGCCCGATGTCATGCTGTCTGCTTCATCGAGAATGACGAGCTTATGTCTGCCGGGGGGTAATGTGACCTTCTTTTGAGCAAAGCCCTTGATTCGATTGCGTACGACGTCGATACCTTGACACAGTGGTGAGCATTGAGAATTTCTCTCTCTCTCCCTCCCTCCCTCCCTCCCTCTCTCTTTCTCTCAGATATTTGTCCACATACCTCTCTCGTCACTTGCATTCAGCTCCAGAACAGCTTCTCTATATGACTCTCCCAGTAGCTGTCTAGCCAGGCACAGCACGCTTGTCGTCTTTCCAATGCCCGGCATTCCTGAAATAATGACATGGGGCATGTTTCCCTCCCTAGCTATGATTTTCAGCCGCTCAATCGTCTCCGTGTTGCCCACCACATCGTCCAGGAAGACGGGACGGTACTTTTCCACCCTTCGAACAGCAATGTTAGCGGCGTCAAGTTTCGAGGGGGGAGGGAGGACAAGAGTACCATGGCAATTCGTAATTTGGAGACGCATTCGAAGATGAGGCCAAGGCTGCCTTTGACGCAGCGGTCGAAGATTCGCCCCTTTCCTCGGTTTTGGCGGCGGGCATGGTGACGGCGATGGTGGATGTGAACGATGGAATCAATTTACGCGACCTGGAAGACGCGTTTTTGGTGGTGTATCGAGCTTCTGGCTCGTGGGGCTTGATGAGGCGCAAGTGGTCCGTGCGTGGCTCTGCCTGCTCCACCGCCTTTGGACTGAGGCGGTAAACAGCCAAACCAACTTTTTCTCAGCAGATCATATTCTGCCCTACAGCAACGAAAAGAAAAAGGCGAACCAGACAGCGCAACTCGTCGCAAAGACCTGCATTGTGGACCCAACACGCCAGAAACACAGGAGGATACGCAGAAGGACGAGAAGAGCGCATCTCCCAACCGCCACCATGGGTGTCGCGAAGAAAACCAGAAAATTCGGCCAAGTCGGTCCTTATCGATAACCAGACCCCCAATACAAAACCGAGTCTGCTAACGTTTGGCAAAATGTCCAGGTCAAGCGAGTAATAGGCCTGCGCGACGCGCGCCTCAAAACGAACCAGAAAAAAGACGAAGACGCCAAAGCCAAAGAGAAGAAGACGATCAATGGCGAATTGATCCGAGAAGCACCCCAGATGCCCAGCAACATGTTCTTCCAACACAACACGGCGCTCGTGCCGCCCTACAACGTCCTCGTCGACACCAACTTCCTCAGCCACACGGTGCAGCGAAAGCTGTCGTTATTAGAGTCCATGATGGACTGCCTGTACGCCAAGTGCAACCCCATCATAACGTCGTGTGTCATGGCGGAGTTGGAGAAGCTGGGCCCAAAGTACCGGCTGGCGCTGCGGGTTGCGAGGGACGAGCGGTGGCAGCGACTGGAGTGCGACCACAAGGGCACGTACGCGGACGACTGTCTTGTGGACAGGGTGACCAAGGATAGGATATACATCGTGGGCACGAACGATAAGCTTTTGAAACGGCGCATCCGTCGAATTCCCGGGGTGCCGTTGATGAGCGTCGCGAGGGGCAAGTATGTGGTTGAGAGGCTGCCGGGGGCGCCTGAGTAATTTTTTGTTTCTTTTCTGTAGCATAATGACAATTTCACGATGACCACAGGCGTCTTTTGGAGTTTCTGGCGGTGCTCTGCGTGCCACGTTCTTTTTTTCGCCACGGCGAGTTGGGAGGGTACAGCGTTAGGCTGGAGTTTAGCTGTTAAACCCGATCGATGCATGTGGACTGAATTGCCGAAACGGTAACAACCATAGCAGACACCACGGCTTTGCAGCAACGCTGCGTCACACCTCATTCTCACTTCGCCGTACATCTCGACACCCACGACTCTCGGCTGAATACTACAGCGGGAGGCAAAAAGCGTTTGACCAGTCAGGTACCTGGCTGTTGCGCTCTATACTAGTATATCAAAGTATACTTCTCGGTGGGCAAATAGATCCTGCAATAGACTGTATTTCCCCTTTACACACCGCGCATGAGACAGCAGCCTCATGTTCCAAGACTCCAGCCCCAGCGAGCCCTCACCCGGCGACAGACAAGCCCAGAAGCGCACGCGGATCCTCTTCTCCTGCGCACCCTGCCGCAACTCCAAGCTCAAATGTGACCGCCAGCAGCCATGCTCGCAGTGCGAGAAGAAGGGCCGCATGGACCAGTGCGTCTACGCCCCCAGGCCCGTCAAGAAGAAGCCCCCGGCCAAGAACATGGCATCGCGCCTCAAGCGCCTCGAGAGCCTGGTGCGGGAGATGATGGGGAACGAAGGAGATGCGAAGCCGCCGGGGAGAAGCAACGAGGGGAGTGCCGTGCCCTCGTTGGAGGGCCACGTTGTCAACGGGGAGCATGGGACGACCTACGTTGGGGCCACGCACTGCATGGCCATGCTCGAGGATGTAAGTTATAAATACACGGGGCTTGTGCCGCGGTACATGAACGAGATGCTAATGGGGGATCTGTAGATTGAGGACTTGAAAATGTATTTTGATGATACAAGGGCCCACGAGGAAGGGGTCCTGTCGACGGATGATCTTGATGCGCCTGAAATGCTGTTGTGCCCGACAGTTCCGCCGAGCAACAGGGACGAACTCATTGCACAGCTGCCAGAGAGGCATGTTGCAGATCGGTTGATTAAGAGATACTTTTCATCCATGAGTCCTTCTCAACGTGAGCCAACCCGTGCCCCAAACCCCATGGACACGTTCTCACGCAGGAGCAGATATTATTCACCGACCTACATTTACAAGAATGGTAAAACTAACACACCCTCCCTTCTCATAACCGCCATCTGGCAACGTCTCATCTCAACTCGTGACATCTCACACTAACATCCCCCCCAGTACGCCCGGTTCTGGCAAGACTCCAACGACGTAAGCCTCCACTGGCTCGCCCAGCTGTTCATGATGCTCGCGCTGGGCATCTTCTTCGACAACTTCGCCGCCCCCCACGAACTCTCAGCCGACTCGCCCGTCCCCGTCTTGGACCGCATCAAGCACTACCGCTCCTGCGCCGGCTGGGCCCTCATCTGGGGCAAATACACGCAGCCCACGTCCACGACGCTGCCCGCGTTCCTGCTCTACGTCGAATCCCACTTCATGTTCAGCCGCGCCGCCCAGATGAGCTGCTACGTCCTCTCGGGCGTGTGCATCCGGCTCCTGCTCAAGATGGGCCTCCACCGCGACCCTTCCAAGCTGGCAAACATATCCCCCTACGAAGGCGAGATGCGGCGGCGGATATGGAACATGGCGGTGCAGATCGAGCTCATCGTCTCCTTCCACATGGGCCTGCCGAGCATGCTGCAGGGCATCGAGGCAGACACGCGCACCCCGTCCAACCTCCAAGACGAAGACTTTGACCAAGATTCCACATCCTTACCCCCGGCGAGACCGGCCACCGACCACACGCACATGACGTACCCCATCAACAAGACCAAAATCCTCAGAGTCTTTGGTCAAATCGCCCGCCAGGCGCACTCGCTCTCACCCCCCGAATACACCGACGTGCTGCGGCTCGACGCCGCTCTGCAGGACACATGGGGCGCTCTGCCGGGCTTCATGCGCGTCCGCCCCCTAGACGAGTGCGTGGGCGACGCACCCGTCCTTTTGATCCAGCGCTTTGGCCTGGCCGCGCTCTACAACAAGTGCCGCTGCGTCCTACACAGACGGTATCTCGCCGAACCCGTTCCTGACAAAGACCACAACTATTCTCGCCAGCAGGGCATCGACGCGGCGTTGTCGCTGCTCGAAAATCAGTATCTTATATGGAGGCACTCGAAGCCGGGCAACGTGCTCAGCTCCACGTCGTGGTTCCTGTCGTCCCTGGCTGTACACGACTACTTGCTCGCGGCCATGATTGTGTATCTGCTGATCAAGAATGAGAGTTATCCCGATGGAGAAGGGTTCGACTTTGATGGCAAGAAGCCTGGCAAGGAGGAACTCAAAGGCATGTTGAAGCGGTCCTTTATGATTTGGACAGAGGTATCCGATAACGTGGCTGAGTTGAGGAAGACGTCGGACACGCTGGCCGCCATGTTGAGTAAACTGGGGGATGCGGTGGACAAGGAAGTGACGATACCAACACGAGGCTCGGAATACCCGTCCTCGGGGTCGGTTGGGTGGTCATCTTTAGCGGAGAAGAGTACTTGTATTGGTGAATCGGATTTACTCTCAAGTATCTGGATTGAAGGCGCCTTTCTATGCATTTGCCACGGCCCGGAGAAGAAATAACGGACGGCGTGCTGACACTTTTTTTGATAACAGGAGCGAACTCATCTTCGGGGCTAACGCCATTCTCTATGGCTCAGCCAACGACCAATGTTACTCCAGCAATGGACTTTCCCCTGCCCAGCACGTCGGAGACCATTCTTGGGAGTAACCTAGGCTTTGATCCGTCGTGGATGGAGCCAGCGGACAATATGGACTGGGTAAGCTGTCCCCGAATCCGCATCTTTTAGAAAAAGCTGTCCGCTGTGCCACAAAGAAAGAGATAATACCAGGCCAGAACAGCGGGCTAACATTGGCTACCAGCGTTTTCTTGACGTCTCCCTGGCACACAGCCATACCGCCGGCACTAATTCCGGGTCTGGAGCGTCATGGGTCGAGAAACTGCCCCTGGATGGACTGGACATGCTAGATCCTGGGGTATGGGGCTTGCCATCTGGGGAAGCACACGGAGACTTCCCATCTAGATAACAGTGCTGGGTTGCGAACGCGATAGCATCAACGGCCACCTTGGCGTAATACTTGGCCCGTCCATGCTCCGTATATACCACTCTTCAATTGTGATATGACATGTGCTCGAAATTCTGATCTGCGATGTTATGTATCGCAAATATTTGGTCATTTGCTGTATGAGCTTGCCTAGCTCATGTGGCTGCGTTCGCCTTAAATCTAACCAACACACCCCGAGATCGGCCCGCAAACACAATTATTGGCCAACAGACAAAGCTTGTTGGGGGGAGCAAAAGCGCCCGGCGGCCGCAGAGAAAAGGAAGAAAAAAAAAAGATGCTTTTCTAATTGCCGATGCTCGAGCTGCCTCGGACCGGTACGTCCACTACTTGCTAGACCGTGCTGCTTAAACCCACTGGTCAATAACGTGATTCAAAAGCGTGATTTGTGACTGGCCAGAGATAAGCAGCATCCTACAATTTGCCATGGCTTGGACCGGGAAAAGAACCCGGAAGGCTGGGACTAGATTTATTCTCAAGGGCTAACACATTGTTTCTCGGCGACAAAGATCGGAATACTTATGCACACGACTGTCGACCTCGCCGGTGTCGTAGTACACGTCTTCGTCCGTGCTGTAACAAGCTGAGATATGTAGCACACCACAAAGGCAGCTAGGCAGTCTGCTTGGCTGTCTGCATTCCCCGCATATCTAAAATTGGTGGTAACCAGGCGATGCAAGCTCCCCTTGTAGTAGTACTATTCTCCTGCATGCGACAAAGAGCTGCATGTTGTGGTTTTCACGGGAAATCTCCTCCCACCAGAACGTCAGCATACCCGCCAAAATTCTGGCACCGTCTCATGTCGCACAATATTGCTTTTGCGGCGGTGAATCAAGAGGCAATTTTATGTCCCGTGTTTAGGTGCTTGACCAGGGCCGAGGTTGGTTGCTGGCATGTCTCACTCAACTCCAAATACAGAAACCTGGGGTAACTATTTCTGGCCAGCCTCCCATGTGTTAAACTCATGCAGCTCAGAAAGCCCTTTTCCTGCTTGTTTGTGATATCCATGCCCAGAGACAGTCTTTTGCGCCCAGACCGCTCACTCAATCTCTGACATCACTAAACTGCCCGCGGGTAGACCTCTTCCACGCGGCGTCGTCCTCAGGAGATATGTCGGTGTGTCTGATGGGGCATGGCCTGGAATCGAAATCGGGCGCATAAAGCCGGGGTCATTTAGTTATTTGTGCCTAGGTACTTGGTGGAGGTGAATTGGAGATCCATGTCCAGGCTGGAGCGTTGCTTTGCAATCATAGATGCTAGTTAGCATTGCGGGACTGAGGAATAGTCTGGTGAAATAGGAAAACACAAACCAGAACCCCACTTGTTTTTTGCTCAACTCCTGAAGCCGTTGCTTGTCTAGTCCGTAGCGCGTAAGGATACAGCAAATATAACCCGTGGTGTACTCAGTGGTGGTGAATTTCCCACCTTGACATCTTGACCTAGAGCTGCGGGCCATCTTGTGACCATGTGATGCCCACGAGTCGGGTTGTCGTGGGGTGTTGGAGCGGGCACGCTTGCCCCGTTCTGAGGCAGCCTTTTTGTAAACGGTATGAGAAACTGATTCAACACAAAAAATTTTAACTGGAGAGAGGGCAGAAAACTTTACCTAATTCTAATGCAGCACCCACATAGCTTGTCTTATTAACGTTGCGGGAGACAGTGACATGATGCCAGCAAAACAAGTAATTGGCCTGGAAGCTATTGGCCCCGACAACCATGTTATGTGTTTGCCAAGCCTAAGATTGGACCAGAGTGCATTGCGGGCGAAGCCTGGCAAATGGCCATACTACAAAGTCCATGAGCTGGAAGTGAGGTTTTCGTTCAATGACAATTCCCATCCAATCTGCCTGGTGTGCAAGCCCGACTTTTCCCAGACTCCCCGCATCTTGAGACTAAAACAAGCATAAGTGTCTGATGAGCTCACTTTGCAGTGCCTGGAGCCAGTGGATGAAGACTGTCCGCAACAAGAGGAGAAGGCGGCATGCGGGCTCTGACGATGGCAATTGCCCGTCGCAATGACGATACCATGGTTAGCCGCGGGGTGCTGCGTCTTCAGGACGTTGTGACGCTTCAAAAACCAAAGGTTGGGTTCCCCCTAGCAGTGACTCATTTCCGACAGTAACTGGTCATTTCAATTGTCTGGGTTCATGCCAACGTTTTCCAGATTTAAGGGTTTGCTAGCGGAACTGCTCTGGAAATGGGCATCATGCAATCCAGCATAGCCATTGCATAATCGTCATGACTTTTCATGGCATGCGACGGGCGAAGGTCGTTGACCATTAGAACCACATGTAGTGCGATTGGCCAGCCCCAGAATCTATATTGTAGAGGAGGAGCAAGGGCTGAAGGGCCAACGAATCGTAACAAGGCCGAATTTTGTGAAAGCTGCGGCGACCTGTTCATCTTATTCTGAACTACCCGCTCGGGCGAGGCCCGGAAGCCTGTTTGATGTTTGTGTCCCACTATAATAACTGATTATTCTAGGTTCTTTAGGTTAGTCGGGCCCCAGGGTCATTTGACCAAGGGCCACGATTCTTCTTCAGGGTTTTTGATGATGTGAGGTCTGCTTATTTTTTGACGACGCAATGCTAGTGTCGGCAGAATCCGGACATCTAGACTGCATAAGATGAGAGGATAAGCAGCTGGGCGCATGACCTGCTGGTATTCTCCTGAATTGGTAGTTAGTGCTCAGTGTCTGTCTGCCTACTGGATGTAGGGGCGGGCAAGTCGGGACGCGTTGCTGCCAATGTGTTGAAGGTCTGTGGCGGGCATCCATGGAACATTGAAGCCGACGTCCATCAAACCCGGCGCATCCACCCACCATCAGACTTTTCAGCCATCCCGTAACTTCTCCATGCCCCCGTCGCCCGTTTACCTGTCACTGATAAGCCTGTGGACTGTTATCTCTTAGTGGGCAGGCGTGTGCCGATGAATGACTGGTGCCGTTTTTGCGACGCAGGTTTGATAAAGCAAACATGGAGTACCCTGGCGCTACGAGGTCCACTGCGCTTTGCGGCCACAGCGGTCAGAGTACCTGCGTGGTTCCTTTCCGGTCTGGTTGATGGTGGTCTCGCTAGCCAGGAGATGAATTTCGGCCTGCTCAAGTATCGGGAATCGATGAATCGAGGATCAAGCGCACCGCACCAGACCGCATGCGCAGCCATCCGCAGGCAGAGAGATCGACTGTTGCGTCTCAGGGCAGGTGCCACGTCGGTGCAGGTCCTTGTCCCAAACCTGTGGAGGCAGGAGCAGATCCATCCAGGTCTTCCCAGTTCTTCCTTGCCATTGTGTGTTCCTTCACGTCTCCCGTGGCCTCCGCCCTCCGCCCTCGGCCCCGGATTATTGTTGCCAATCGAACATATACCATAACACACCTGCATCGAGGCGCTCTCTGGTCAAGTCTCGTGCTCTTGCTCTTGCTCGGCTTCCTCCCTTCTTCTTGTACCGTCCTGTATGCTACGAACGGCATCGATATTTGAGACACGGCCTTGGCATTCCAGTTGTCGTTTGGGAAGCAGCACTTGAGCTCTTATCAATTGGGTTGCTCCTGCTAGCCGACTTCCGCCGCGCCTGCGCCTGCCCGGAACCCCACCATCCGATCTCGTCGTCTGAGCTCCTATTGATCTTTTGCGTCGATAAGAGGGAGGCTGGCTCAGAATTGTCAACCTCCGGTGCGAGCATCGTCAAACAGACCGTCGGCACCTCTTTGCCCAAGTTGCGAGGCCGCATCCGCATCCGTTCGTGCTTCAGCGCATCCTCGCCCGCCTTCTTACAGCGCGTCCACGGCTGCTGACAGGCAGTGGCGACACTCCGGTCCTGCGCGGCTGCGTGCTGTGCCCCTCCATTCCCCATCACTCTCGGCCAAAAGTGCCCACCTCGATCAACCCAACCACGAACCAAACCACGTCAAAAAGCGTTGCGCGCGACGCATCCATACAACCATACCACAATACTGGTACTGCGAGACCCTTCCCCTTGCCTGTCTCAGAGACCGTCCAACAGCCTACTCCGACTCTAGCCTTTTGCTCGCCAGAACCGCCTCGAGGAACTTCTCCGCCAAACCCTCAGCGAACCGCACACCATCCAGCTGACCTCACGATCTTTCTCCAGTTCCAAATTTTGTTACCAATAATTGACCACCCCGCTCAGACATAGCCTGTTGTGCGCCCGTCGTGAGTCGCCTGCATTGGCCAGCATTTCCTGTCCTCGCACCATCGTCGGCCCACAGAGCACTTGTATTTTACGTACAGACTTTCAGTCCTCACCATCCACAACACCAACCTCGCCCGGGGCCTTCTGCCTTTTGAAGTCCCTGCGAATCCCGCCCAAGTCTCCAGGACATCTATCTGCTCCCCCAGGCGGGCCGTCGTGTGCGAAACCACGGTGGCCTCGCCTGTTGTATGCTGCACGGAAAGGAGGCCTTTTGCCTTGCGCGTATCCCCTTGTCACCATCGTCCGTTGCGCTTTTCCACCCTAGTCAGCACGTCGAGAGCGACAGGGATTGAACCATGCCAGCCCAAATTACCGGCCCTATGGCAGCCAGCATCCCGATTCATATTGGCAACGACCAGAGTAACAACTACCGCAAACAACACAAGCACTCGCGATCGTCCTACTCAGAGTCGTCCCCGCTGGCCAACTCTAGAAACAACTCTCTGACTTTCCGCCCACCCAAGCGACACATGTCAACTCCGGACAAGACCATCGCTATTACCAACGCAAGCGGGCGCCAGGCTGCGTCCCTGATTCGTGTCGCCACAGCCGTCGGATATCGCGTTCGAGCACAATTGAGAAATCTTGAAGGTGTTGTTGCCACCGAGGTCTCGACTAACCCAAACGTAACAGTATTTGTGGGTGAGCTGTATACCAGGCACAATCCTACAAAGGAAAACAAAGACGTTACGCAAAATGGTCCGATTGCCGGTGTCGGCGTCAACCATGACCTGATCTCAAATCTGTTCCGTGGCGCACAGCTGGCCTTCATAAACACTACATTTTACGGCGATGAAGTTCAGATTGGCATGGCTCTAGCTGATGCCGCCAAGAAGGCGGGGGTCCAACACTACATCTATTCGTCGATGCCTGATCACAAGGCCTACAACAAGGACTGGCCTTCTTTACCACTTTGGGCAGCGAAACACGAAGTGGAAGAGTATGTTCGAAAGCTCGACCTCCCTGCGACCTTTGTTTACACGGGCATCTATAACAACAACTTCACGTCGTTGCCATACCCATTATTTTGCATGGAGCTACAAGAAGATGGGTCTTTCGTATGGCAAGCACCATTCCACGAGGATGCCAAGCTTCCTTGGCTGGACGCGGAACACGACGTTGGGCCCGCAATTGTACAGTTATTCAAAGACGGCGTCTCGAAATGGAAGGGTGAGCGGATTGCTCTCGCTTACGAATATCTGTCGCCCAAAGAAGCCTGCAGGCTGTTTGCAAGAGGTGTTGGCCGTCCCGTACACTACGTCCGTGGCCCCATTGAGGTCAAGGTTCAAATTCCCACTGGCTACCGAGAGCAACTGGAGGCACTTGCGAAGCTTTTCAAGCTTAGCGAGACGGACCCCAAAAGACAGCCACCTTACTTTGGGGACATGAAGCTCGAGGTGAGCTGCCCTACGGAAGCCCTTGAGCTCTGGGAAGGTCCCCGGGGCCTGGAGGAATATGCCCGAGAAATGTTTCCTCTTGAGGAGGAGGCCAACGGACTTACATGGATGCTGGACGAGGACGAAGTCGAACAGACATCTGCCGCCGACGATAAACTCAATGCCACAACAACATCTGTGGAACAGTTGAAGCTTCACGACGAGAATGAGGATGACGATTCAGACGAAGACGAAGGACTCGTTATGCGGGGCTTGAAGCGAGACGAAGAACAATGGCTGGCATAGCGTCAACCGCTATGTTTACACAAAAGAACAACACATGTAGTGGATCGAGTGCAGATTCGAAGTCAGCCACATGTTTCCGCATGTTACGACACGCCCCCCTATTTTTCATGACACATAATCTACGAGGCTTTCTGGGCGTTGGGGGTTATTGATTTTGAAGGTCAAAACGGTGATATGGACATTTCTCAGCGTAGGACAAAAAAGTGCAGGATACCTCGAAATGAAGCCATGGGGAGGCAGACGATTACAAAAGAGCGCCATCTTCATCCAGGATTGAAGAAGAAAAAAAATGAGGCACTGGTCACCGCAGACATGGGATCTACGTACCGAGGATTTGCTGGGATTTATTGGACTGGAGTATCGAGCATGGTGTATGTTGGGCGTCGTGCTATACTAGCTTTGGCGCATGTTGCATATCTGAGGAATAAACATTGTACTAGGCAGTTTATGACTGACGTGACTGGACCTGCAAGTGCTTCTACTGGCCGCATTGCGATGTTGCAATACTTGGAATCATTCAGGTTTGCCGGATGCTTATTGGTGGCGCGAGAACGAGTTTAGCACGGAGTACTCCGTACGGAGTAGCATCCGCAATAGTAGTCGAGTCTGCCCACAAACGTGTCTGTAGCCAACAAAATACGTTTGTCAAACTTCCGACGACGACAACACTTATGCTAGCTCAGCAGACTATCTACACGACACCTCTCCATTCAGACAAAGACTAACTCTTCTCATCCTTAAACGCAAAAGGAGCCTCGGCATCAACCTTGCCCACCTGCCCCTCGGGTAACTCATTCAGCTCGTCCTCGTGGATATCCAAGTTGCGAAACTGGATATAGAAACAAGTGCCGGCGACAAAGGCCAGGATGGCCACAACAGCGTAGTTCCAGACGAGCAGCGGATCAGATGCGAGGCCGACAAAGGCCTGGCCGATGGCGGCGGCAAACGAGGTCATGAACAGGGCTACGGCCTGGACCATGGAGCGCATGTTCTTGGGGGCCTTGGAGTAGGCGTACTCGAGGGAGGTGATGGAGGCAAAGACCTCGGCGAGGGCGATGAGTACGTAGGAGCCCGCCTGGGCCCAGACGCTGATCTCGACGGCGGGGCACTTGACCGTCTCGCCGGCGGCGTTGAGGGTGGTGCCGGACGCGTAGCTGCCGCACACGGACGCCTGGTAGATGTAGTGCTGGACGACGGCGGCCCAAACCATGGCTGCGCAGCCGACGAAGAAGCCGGCGGTGATTTTGCGGATGGGGGTGAAACGGATGCCGGCCTTGCGCAGGGCCGGGTAGATGAGGAAATCGTTGAGGGGGATGAAGATGAGGAGCGCAAAGGGGTTGAGGTTGGAGAGCACGTCATTGGGGATGCCGTTGCGCTGGAGGACGGCCGCCTGCGAGATGAGGTTGTTGTTGACTGTGCGTGGTTAGTGGGGAGAAGAAGGGGGGAGGGGTCCAGGGGAGGATGACGAGGGACTTGCTTTGGTTGTAGCACAGCCAGAAGATGGGATACCAGCAGAAGACGGCGCAGGCGGCGAAACCGCGTCGCCGCTCGTCGACCCAGGCGCCCTCAATTTTGCGGATGGGGGTGAAACGGATGCCGGCCTTGCGCAGGGCCGGGTAGATGAGGAAATCGTTGAGGGGGATGAAGATGAGGAGCGCAAAGGGGTTGAGGTTGGAGAGCACGTCATTGGGGATGCCGTTGCGCGGGAGGACGGCCGCCTGCGAGATGAGGTTGTTGTTGACTGTGCGTGGTTAGTGGGGAGAAGAAGGGGGGAGGGGTCCAGGGGAGGATGACGAGGGACTTGCTTTGGTTGTAGCACAGCCAGAAGATGGGATACCAGCAGAAGACGGCGCAGGCGGCGAAACCGCGTCGCAGCTCGTCGACCCAGGCGTCGTCAAAGGTCATCCAGGCCGGGCGGGTGCCGGGCGAGAAGCGCGAGGGCTTGACGGAGTCCCAGAACGTGCCGTCGTGGAGGTTGCGATGCGTCCGGAACGGGTTGGCGGACCAGCGGCCGCGCTGGGCGAGCATGAACGTCCGCAGGGCCGGGACGAGCACCGACCCGGCAGGCTCGCGACGGAGATAGCGCCGGCGCCCCCACCACATGACGAGCGGGCAGAAACCGAGCATGATGGTCGGCAGCGTGTATGAGAGGTAGAAGCCCACGTGCGTCTCGGCGTACACCATGGTCAGCTGCCCGACCAGCGCGCCGACGTTGATGAAGAAGTAGAACCAGTTGTAGATGCGCTCCGTGGTGACGGCCGGGTCGACAATGACACGCTCGCCGCTCTCGAGGGTCCGCACAAACATGCGCTGCTCGCCCAGCTGCTCCACGATCAGGCAGCTGATGTTGGGCTTGAAGCCGCCCGTGCCGAAGCCGTTGATGATGATGGCCGCGACCAGGCAGCCCAGCGAGGCGCCCCGGCGGACGATGATGGGCGGGATCGCCGACAGAATGAGGATGACGTGGCCGAAGAGGTTGACTCCCAGGGCCGCGCTGATGGTCTTGTACCGCCCCCATTTGGCGTCGGCCACCCACGCGCCGAACAGAGGCATGAAGTATTGCCAGAACTGGTTGAAGATGGTGATGCCTGTCGAGGCGCGCTGGCCCATCCCCAGGGCGCCGGGTTGGGTTGGGTCGGCGCCCGTCGTCGAGCCGGGGGGAAGAGGTTGCTGGATGAAGTTGGTGACTTTTGGTCACGGCGATCTCTTAGTATTTTGTTTCTGGGAAATCAAATGGCGGCATAGAACGGGTTTCCCCCCGTGATGTGACTACTTACACACGACCGTGGATCCATAGTACGAGAAGCGCTCACAAAGCTCAATAAAGGCAATCGTAAAGAGCTTCAGTGGAACATGATTGGGTACACGGCGCAGAAGGGCCAGTTCCTCGGTCGTCGGCAGGACGGACGTCTCATCAACTTGCCGTGTATCGCCCGGGGCGACGTGGCCACTCTGGACAGCAGCGTCGTGCTTCCGGACGGCCTGGAGAGACGCCCGCTTCTCATCCGTGGCTTCGGCGCGAAGCTGGGCTCCCACCACTGGCTCGGCCAGACTATCACCAGTGGGCATAATGGCGCGTGCTGTGAGTCCAGTCGTTTTCCAAGCAGCAGGCAACACAAACTGGCTTGGGTGGGCTCAACGTGGCGGACGGTAACTGTACGGGGAGGAGGAAGACGAAATGGGACGTTTTTGCGTCCCCTTGGCCAAGTAGGGCTCCGACCCCCGTCTTATAGATGGCTTTTTGGAATGAAAGGAGTACAGAAGATGCGGCATGGCCTTCCTGGAAGCTTGGCCAGGAGCCCATGTTGGAGGGCATATTTCACAGGAGTGGCCGGTGGGCGTGCCTGGGGAAGGACCCGAGGGTTTCTCTCGAAAACGTGAGGACGGGATTGGAGAAGCAGACAAGCACTTGGATTTGCACACCCACAATGGCCCTCTGAGATATCTCCATCTGGGCACCAGCGGGGATGCTTCGTCTTGGCAAAAGAAGAGGTCCGGAAGCGCGGCGTGGGAGAGCCCTGCAGCAGTGTCGTCCATGATTTGAACACGACAAGATGGCTCGCGATAGGACCTCCTGCAGAACGATTCCCCGGCGATCCCCGTGGTTGCAATTCTGAAGACCGAACTCGGCTTTGACGAAGATGCTTGGGACCAAGACCTTGGCGCGTTGGTCTGGGAAGCAGACAGGCGACCATCCGGGCAAAATCTGGGGCCATGGGCAAGGATTGTTCGGCCTGGTGCTGTAGGCAATCTCGATGTTGGGATAAAGTTGCTGGGCAGAGTTATTTCTGGTCCCAATCGTGTGCAGCCACTGTCCCAGGAGGAAAGCTCGATATTGCACAAGCCGTCAGCTTGCTTGATGGTGTCCGGTGACAGGTGGGCGGCTGTTTTGCTCGTCTTCGGCACTTGGAAGGCGTATGGGGTTCCGCTTGTACGGGTCAAGACATGGCCGCCAGGGCCCCCTCGCGCAGCATTCTTGCTATGATGCCGGAATTTGTCGATGGGGAGATGTCGCTATGGGAGCTTCTGCTCCATGAATTATTGATCGTAAATGCCAAAAAATATTTTTTACTATATTTTCCTATATTTTCCTATATTTTCCTATATTTTCCTACATTTTCCTATATTTTCCTATATTTTCCTACATTTTCCTATATTTTCCTATATTTTCCTACATTTTCCTATATTTTCCTATATTTTCCTAAAATCTTTTCTAATTCTTTTAATAATAACACGAAAGGCGTGAGCTCACCTAGTGTAACGCGCACACGGAGTTACC